TTTTATGCAAAGGTGAGCTTAGGATCACAGGTGTTACCGAAAAGACCGCCACTACAGTACTAGTTCTTTTTTTCTGCAAATATAATTCCAGTTTAAGAATAACAGTTAATAACGCTGGCAATGGCATTTTTAGATATCAACGAGTGCACGGTGTCAAATGGCGGCTGTAGTCACAAGTGTGTTAATACTGGAGGAGGCTACAAATGTGAATGTCCAGACCCGGAACTGAGCCTAGCATTGGATAACAAGACATGTCACGGTAAATGTGGATTGGAAAATGATAGTAATACCTTAAAAACGAATTATACTTTTGTGTTTACAATTTCTACTTTTTCAGGACCTCTCTGTACATGTTAACGCACAGTTTTACGTTATTCTACAAGTGCTCAGCCTCCCATCATTTTCAAGTATTTCTTGTCTCGTTTCATTTCCTTTAAATCATTTCAGCTCCAGGTGTTGATGTTCAGTGCAACAGGGACAACATGACAATCATCATTCCCAAGTCCCTGCTCCGTGGTATTGACCGTAAGCATCTTCGACTCCTGGACACCACATGCAAAGCGAAAGAAACAAGCGCTGACTTTTCTCTAACGACACCCCTGACTGGCTGTAACACAACACGCAGGCAAACACCTACAGCTATTGTTTACTCCAACACCGTCTTGGAAATCCCTGTGGCTGTTGAGGATGTCGTGACACGCGTGCGTGAAATAGAAATACAGTTCAGCTGTTTTTATTCCAGGTATGGCGTGGTATCATCGGTTGGTTGGAAGCCAAGTAACAGGAAACTTGAGTTCAGTGATGAAGGCAAAGGGAATTTTACACTTTCTCTGAACATGTTTCCTGACAAGAGATTCGTGAGTCCTTACACAAAGGATGATTTCCCTGTTGCTGTGGTGCTGCGTAAACTGCTGTTCTTTGAGACATCAGTGACTTCAGGTGACAAGCAGCTGTCAATCATAGCNATGTGATGCCATCTTATTTTTCACTTTCCTTCTACTTAGGTTCCAGTCCTATCTTCCTGATGTCTCTGTTTGTGTTGTGCGTTGCTTGCTTGGCGGGGGCAGTGGTGTCGATTTACAACAAGTCACGTGACAAGCCCGCTGGCTATACTATGCTTGTCGGCGGTGAAAAGAAGTGAAACATGCTCATTGACTTCAACAGGACTGGACTTGAGATACTTTAAGGTTACTCGAGCTTGAGATATGTATTACTTATCAGCCTAGTTAATACCACCTACGAATAAACCTTTTTAGAACAGCGATAATTATATCTTACCTGCCTGACAGCTCCACCAGCCGTTAGCCATTTCTGGATGAAGCCCTATAGTTTGTCAGGCAACGCTGCATTTCCTTTGTTTGGCGAATTAAACGTTGCAAATTTAAAAATTACTTGTAAAATATTATAAACTTTGGAGGTAAAGGAACTTTAACAAGAAGCAGTTTGATTATATTCAAACGATCTGCTTTGATTATTTTCTTTGAAGAAATATGTGAAACAAAATCTCTCCAATTTCGTTTTATTAAGACCGTCTCTGACCATTTCAGCGACAATGTCTTCAAATTTTTCTTTTGACCTAATGTCAGTGATTGCATATCTCATGTTCAAGTTTATCCTTACTGTGTTGATTCTGAGTGGCCCTGAAAGCTAAACGTTTTCTGTGTTCCCTGTTAAACCTTTAGTTTTCGAG